TCCCATAAATTGGTCAAATATCAATATTTTTCACTGAAACTTACTTTATATGAAAGGTAAGCCTAAACTACATATTCTCTGTAAGTTATAGCTTTATATCTGTTTAAATGTGGATACTAAGGCGAAAAGACCACAAAAAATGAACTAAATTGCCCATATCTTGGTTCGCGATATTCGCGGAATTGATCTCATTAAAATTGTAACAACTCAATCAGTTTTCAAAATTTTTCCATGAAATTTTCGGAATCGACTCGAAATCGCATTTTCACCTTAGTTTGAGAACAGATTTTTGATTAAGGCCTCAAAAAAAATTTGGCGGCCAAATTCTGAATTTCTCCGGGAAAATTTTGGAATTTGGCCGCCAAATTTTTTTGGAGGCCTAAATCAAAAATCTGTTCTCAAACTAAGGTGGAAATGCGATTTCGAGTCGATTCCGAAAATTTCATGGAAAAATTTTGAAAACTGATCGAGTTGTTACAATTTTAATGAGATCAATTCCGCGAATATCGCGAACCAAGATATGGGCAATTTAGTTCATTTTTTGTGGTCTTTTCGCCTTAGTATCCACATTTAAACAGATATAAAGCTATAACTTACAGAGAATATGTAGTTTAGGCTTACCTTTCATGTAAAGTAAGTTTCAATGAAAAATATTGATATTTGACCAATTTATGGGACGAAATCTACCAAATTTGGTGCGTATGCCCAAATATGGGCATATGGTTTTTGGCTCATAACTCAGTCATTTTTTGTCCAATCTTGATGAAATTTCATATACGAGTTCAGGAGACCACTAGCTACAAGTAGAGCACCTAAAATTTGGGTTTTGGGCATGTTCAGGGTATTTGGCTAAATTGGGCCTAATTTGGACCAAATATGGGCGTGGCTGCCCCGCAGGCACCGTTTGGCGGTTAGGGTCAGGGACCCCCTCAAAAGTTCGGTCACTGGTCTAAGTTTGTTGGTCAACTGCTATCTCGAAATCAAGTTTCACAAAAAAATATCCATTGGCCCCCCCCCTTAAGTATCATTGTTACGACAAAACAGTCAGGTTTCAGTCAATAATAGGGAGTGCTGGAAAACAAAGACAATGAAGAGAATATTTGTAGAGAATTGACGCTCAATTTCTGAATGAATGCATGTTACCTCGCCAGCTGCCAGAGGAATATTGTGAAATAGTGACTTGAGGAGGACCTTGCCACCCAGTAGACGCTACAATATCACTATCCTCTGATCAGAACAATTGCGCTTTGTACTTATCAGGAAGTTATTCTGTTGGAAGATCAGGACGGGACAACTATAAGTACATATTGAAAGTTTGCATGGTCAAATATTATCTATCATTTGATAGCTCATTGAAATATACTTGAAGGAAAATGATATGAAAAAAATGATGTGACAAAAATGTTCTGTAATGACATAACTCTGTTCTCAGTTTCTCATACCACATTTGGTATTTAGGCATACTGGATAAATGGCGCCTTAATACCTTCCTTCCCCAGGTAGCATTATATAAAATGGGTAGAATTACTCAAAAACATGTAGTTTTCAAAGATATTTATAACTTTTTAGTGCGTCGCGCCGGCCAGTCTAGCTAGAGTATTTGACCTTTTCATCGACCTGCCAAGTAACATCAAATACCTTAGTTTTTTTACTCCCATCAAACTTGATTTAAGTAACGACAACTTATAAGGTTAAGTTTTAACAACTTGCTAAACGGTGCGATTGGTCAAGTTAAAGCGGTCTGCGCTGCTATCAACTAATCAAGAGCTTCACAGCCAAACTAACTCCTGGTATGTTGATGAGGGACATTTAGCCGACGTCATGACGTCACACACCACGTGTCATGACGTCACTTATCCTGGCACTCGGTGGAACAGAGGGCAGGCTATTTATAGATTTTGTGAAAAATTGTTGAGGAGGATTCTTCAGTATTGAAACATTGAACAACTAGGAAAGCTTGTCCGATGCATTTAGATGAGACGGATTTTTGAATATTCGCCAATTAAGATTATTTATGAATTAAATATGTCAAGCAAGCTGAGGAGAACACATAGCACACATAATGAATAGATTGTGCCGTTTCATATTCGACAGCACTTTGAGTATACCGCTTTTTGAGCGACATTTTTGAACAAACAGCCGAGTTGTTCACACGTGATTAATACTCAACATGTGTAACGAACATTCCTTAATTTGATCTATCAACGCACTTGAACCTGATACAAAAAGGAAATGACACCCTCAAAAATGGCAAGAATCACAAATTTCAACCATAAGTCATATGTTTTTCTACAATACTTAGTTAGACAGGGTATTTCGACATAAAGCAGCTGTTGATATACCGTTACTCCTATAACTCATTAAATACATTAAGTACCCAATCTAAATAGGTTAGCGTTGGGATATATAACACCTATTTACCCCAGCCGCGAAATTCTGGTCACTGAAATCTCACATTTACAATAGAATTGAACTAAAAGTTCTGAATTTAGGGGCCAGCTATTTATGACCATGGTATGGCCTCTATTTAGCCTTGGTATTGGTAGCAGCTGATGTTTCAACTTTCAGAGCTAGATCAGTTGATTCAATCTAATATAAGGTTTAATATAATTCCTGTAATTTTCAAGTATAAAAAGACGGGTGATGGATACAATATATTGATTTATTTGGACTACTAAAAAGTCCAGTAACTCAGTAAGCAACGCAGCTGCCTCTAAATAATAAATTCAGCCTCCCAAGATTTTTATTGTAGATCACCTGTTCCCGTTCATTCCAACCAACTGGGCAACTGGATTGTGAATCAGAAAGTAAAATATCAGATCTGTAAACAGTATTATATGACCTGATCATTAGGAACGTTAGCACGAGATGGGCCACGTTTTTTTAACAATTGCAAATGATCAGGGGTGAAGGGTCACATACTATATGGATATCAGTCTATACTATATCATACTACTGTATATATTCTATCAAGCTGTTAAATGAATATGTTTCACCCGGTGCGAGATCTGTTACAGCTGCGGCCACAGATCTTATTAAAATCTCCCAAGTGGTAGTACGAGATAATTACGAGATAATTGGCAATTACCACCATCTGGATTCTGGAGTAACGAGTTGTGGGGAATTACAAGTTATTACAGCTTTAATAATAGTATCCACTCATGTAACCCCTACTGCTATTAATAAAATGTTAGATTAAGACCTGTTGATAAACATTCGCACCTCCTACTCGATTAGAGTGTCTCAGTAAGTGTTTTGGCTCCATCTTGAGAATAAAAATGATCTGATTTAATTTCTATCAAATAGTAAATCAGGATTGTGCAGCAACGAGAACAAGGTTTAATTCACAATTAATAATGTAAATGTTTTGGGGCTATTTCACATGAATAAAGTGGGCATTGGGCAAGATTAAACCGTGTTACAAAATAGTTGACCGTGTTACAAAATAGTTGACCGTGTTACAAAATAGTTGACCAGACGTCTTATTTTATTATATAAAATGTTAGTAATGACCCCTAGAAGTCACACTTACAACACCACAAACCCAAACTAAGAGACACCAACAAGAACTCTAGAAATACAACTGGCCCCGGACCATGTAGATTAAGGATAAGAGCCTGGACCGATCCATCTTGTTTAATACTAAGGTATTAACACATCAGTTTTTACAGACTTACAAGAATTTTAAACATCAGTACACGGATATAACCTGGTCCAATATTGGAACATTACATAATGGTAACCAAGTGACGTGACCATAGCAACACTACCATAGTAACGACTTCTTATCAACTGTAGACAGGATTATGTCATAATAGCTGTATTGGGAGCGGGTTTTAATCGTGGGATAACACTCGCAAAGTTAATGAGAGACTAATATTAGACTACTCTAGCTTCATCCCATGACCTATCATGACATATCCGCCTAAACTTTAGCTAGGTTAACTTTAGTTACCATTAATTAGGTCACTCTCCGATGGATTGATTATAGACGGTGAGTTTTTGCCAGAAGATAGATTCCTGCATTTTGGGGGCATCTTCAATCAAACATAACTTAGGTTTAGTGAGAGTGAAGTATTATTATCACAATGATTTAGGAGCCTCTTGGTATATTTTGGGGTGGTGATGAAAGTGATCAACATCCTCGTTCCTTTAAACAAGGGAGGATTTAATCTAAGAAAGTGTAACATCACTGGAAACTTTAATCACTGTCATTGTTATTAGTGTAGAGTTTGTAGATATGGTAACACAGTAAGATATTGTAACGCAGTATTTTCTTTATATCCCTTATCTTCCTTATATCCCTTATAAAGTCCCCTATCAAAGACTATAAATTTAAATAACATCTACAATAAAACAGTGTTCACCACTGTTAGATATTAATAGGAATACAGAGTAACACGTAAAGGAAGAAAATAATTAAAATTGGGCTGTTTGCCAAACCATATATTGGTAGCACATTCCTATTATTTTCTGTAGATAACAAGCTATTTGAGATTTTGAGAGAGCATTCCAGAAAATTTAATTGTAAATTGGATGCTGAGTAGCTTCAAATTTTATCCAATTAATAAGGCCTAATAGAAACGTAAGAAAAATTCAAAGGTATAAATATTTCACAAACTTCAAGGCCTCAAAAACTGTGAGCTATTGTAGATACTCTAACTGTATCTAACTTCTAGTTTCTACAAGCTAACCCTAATTCCAACTTAAACTCTAGCTCTATCCCGACTCTGCATCTAATAATCCAATTCTTATCCTAACTTTAGCCATAACTTTAACTTTTATTCTAACTCTGAATACTTATACTAACTACAACTTTCAATCTAACTCCGACTTAAACTTAAACTTAGACTCTAACTCTAACTCTAACTCTAACTCTTACTCTTACTCTTACTTTAACTCTAACTTTAACTCTAACTTTAACTCTAACTCTAACTCTAACTCTAACTCTAACTCTAACTCTAACTCTAACTCTAACTCTAACTCTAACTCTAACTCAGGCGGATGAAAAGACGCCGTTATACGACGCCGATCACGACTACCTGTTCGATGAGAACAACTCTGCTGAGCCAACTTATGACATACCGGCTCAAGACCCTGCTATCAGTCTCAGACAGGTGAGAGACAGAACAAAAGTAAATTCAATTGACACTGTAAGAATTATGATGAGTTGAACATGACAACGTTGTTTCAGCATTGAAAAATGACTAACTTTAAGTAATTTAGATCTAAGTAAATGTACCATCGTTGAAAACTAAAAACGTTTTAAAGATAGCATCATAATAATATAGACTGTAGATAAAGTTATTTAATTGTTTAATTCAATTCAATATAAATACTACTGACTAACAGTTACTGAGTTGCAACAACAGAGAACATGATGAATAATTATACTCTGTCGTTTCTTTGATATTGATACTATAACTCATAATTAGGGTAATGACATCACAATGACTTCATAATTGGGATAATTATATAAACTAATATAAACTTTCTTTATCAATTAAAGTTAAATTTAGAATTGACTGAGTTTTCTTAACATGAACTGTTTTTAACAATTTAAAGTTGCTCCACAGCCTACTAGTAAAAAAGCAAGTTCGCAGTAATTTATTAACTAATTAATCACCAATCACCTGATTCTTGACACCAAACCCCTCTGTACATCAGGTTGAAACAGTGACAAAAACTATTTCCTCTCCCGATGAAGATCTCTACGACATTCCAAGCAACGTTATCAGATCCCTGCCCGCTCAGAAGCCTAAAATTGCACCGAAGCCTAAAATTATCTTGTACGACTCACTTGCTCCTGCTCCAGAGGTATGATATAACTTTAAAAATTAAATATAACCTTTTTTAAATTTTATAACTTAAAATAAATTTATCCAGGGAAAGATACCTCAAATTAACAATTAACATGACTCATTCGACTAAATCAAAAACGCGCAGTCTCTTTTTAGTCACAAGGGAATCGAGAGTTGACAAAATATAAAGTACAAATATTTAGTCACAAAATAGATTTTCTGAACAACTATATTTGTTTGAGTTAGCGGTGAATCCAATTTTCTCTCTCGCGACGAGTTTTCCATACAAAATGAACGTTGAGTTGGAAAATTAGCAGCAAAAATGTGGAAATCCGAAATACCTGAGTATTTTGTACTTTGTAGTAGCAAGTATTACCGATAGGGTTGTGTCAAAAGAGATCCCAATTGCAGTGACGAGACTAGTCTGAATTCTAGCCGCCACTGATTTTTGCGTAATTGATACGTTTCTATTTCATTAAAAGAGTATAGCCTGGTGTTAAATAGTGGATCACACAACTAGACTAAGTGTTCACACCTGGTGTATCGTGTGACCCGAGTGCCTAATGTTTAGCTGCGACCTATAACTTGTAAACTACATAATTGGTCTTTAATTAAATATATATTTTACAGGCAGTAAGTACAGAAGATGCTGAGGATATATACGACGTTCCAAGCTTGAGGAGTACTAAACAACCCTCTGAGCCGACTGAGGTGGATGGTATACAGGTAAATAGATTTATCAAGTGCAGTCACGCACAATCAAGTGACTTTGCACGTGCAGCCACGCACAATCATGTAACTTTGCACGTGCAGTCACGCACAATCACGTGACTTTGCACGTGCAGTCACGTGACTTTGCACGCACAATCATGGGACTTTGCACGTGCAGTCATGTGACTTTGCACGCTTGGTCACGTGATTTTGTACATGTCTTGTCAAAGGTTTTGGTGCACGCACAAGCAGTCATGTCACGTGTCTCTAATCAAGTATTCTTTGGAGACACGTGGTACAGCACGTCCCGTAATGTATTTTCGCGCTAAATCTCCATCAGTAACATGCTGATGATTCAGTAGTACAGAAACAGCCTAGATAAGATACTACAAAAGTATTTTCTGCAAAGCCTGAGAAGCAGGAAGTACCGTGAAAGTATTTACTACAAAATATTTACTCTAAAAATTACTCACTACAAAGGCCGGAAAGAGACCCGACACTTTTTCGGCTCTTTTTGAGCGGGATAGAAATAACAGTTTGTATCGCACTTGTTAGGACAAAGAACAACATATGCTTTGTGAATACCCGTTGTGTCATGTAGCAGTCACTTTTATCTAATATTTGCTCATCTATAAGGCATTGATACATTCTCAATCTTATGTGAAAGCCCTATATTAATCGAAATTAATGAAACAAATTCATTGTTGATGAATTTTCACGCTCTATTGCGGCAAATGAAACCATGAAAGTATCCACAATATTAAACGTGACCATTCCAAGACATATTTTAGTGGGCCGTTCCAGTCTGGTGTCATGACCGAATTGGGAGAATTAACTGGATTCGGAATCTAGATCAGAATTAATAAGGTATCTTGACAATTATTAAACCCGCCATGTTAAAAGATATAATCTCTTCTGCAATCCCTCGCGTGGCATCTTTACGTCAACAAAAATATTCGTCAGTCCGATTTGTATCTACTGGAATGTAGCCGATCCAAGCGTCACGTAAAGTTTTCAGAAAAGCAGAAAAATGGTCTTAACTTTTAGCTACAATATTTTACAATGAAGCAATTCTTCTCTTGGAAAGGTTCAGTAGATAAAACTGCAGCCGACCCCGTCCCCCACCCCTTGTTAATTAGACGCTAACGTCTAATATTTACTCAGGTAGCTGATCTCCCATTTAATCAAAGGTAAACCCTAATATCTACTCAGGTAGCAGATCTGGAGCCTCTCTACGATACTCCTCCTCCAAAAAGAGAGCCTAATTTATTAGGATCCAGCCTGGAACTTAACAGCAGACGAGCTACTGGAAATAGCGTTTTGAGCAAGTAAGTGACTTAAATCAGTGACGTGTTAGTGACTTCTTGGTGACTTGAGTGCGACGTTTTTAAATGTGTTACTGAATATTTGGGGACCTGTTTGATAATTTGTGACTGTTAGTGTCAGACTGTTAAATTCTAACGTTTACTCTCTAAAAATAGCGATATCAACTGTCAACATCTCAATTCCATCTAATTCAACTGACTAAATCTAATGATAATATGGGTCCGTCTATCTTACCCAAGACCAAGGCTACGACAATAACTGAACTAGAACAATAGTATGGATATGACAATTATAAATTAGTGATTAATTGTCTTATATAGGTGCTGAGTATTTCTAATGAAGTTTAGAGCAAAACTTGACAAAAGTGATAAACAATTAGTGCAAACCTTTTAAAGTAGTAAGGATATGACATACTAAGGAATTTTTCTCATCCACATCTAAGCCTACAATCCGACGATGACACCTGGCTCAAATTCTGACAGCTTCTGCTCTAAAACATAGACCCAATACTTCTTAATACTTTCTTATAAAATAGGGTTATGTAATAAGGTGTTTCATAACAATTGTTTCACACTGTGTTAACATTCATGACAAACAATATGCAAACATAATATTAAGTTTGAATAATTAATAATTAACTAACGACATATTCCCCCAGCTCGAGCGAAACTACGAGTAACAGCAGTTACATCAGAACAACTACCATGTCTATGGGCAGACACGACTCCATAGACTCCGCCTATCAAATGCTGGTTATCGACGACAAGGAGAGCGCTGGACAAGTTGTTAAAATAGAGGAGGAAGCTATCTACAATATACCACCGCCATCTCGAGATACGCCCCCGCCACCACGAGCAACGCCGCCCCCACTGCGAGAAACCGTGCCTCCTCCACACGCAACGCCGCTCCCACCGCGAGAGACCCCGCCTCCTCCACAATATGAAGAACCCCACTACAATATCCCGCCTGCAAGAACCACCCCTCCCAGCCCCCTCAGTTCTGTATCAGACCCATTATTCCGGGTCCCAGTTTCAGATCCCATCGCCCGATCCCCTCCCAAACCCTACCTTCCACCTCGCACAGACAGACCTCCTGTCCCTTCTCGAGGACAGACTCTAGGACGTCCCTCCCGCCCTCCAGTGGAGGACCCTAAACCAGCCAGACCCCAATCTGAGACAATGTGTAGACCCAACCGTCCTGTACCACTTCTACCCCCAGAAACCAGGGACTCTCACTTAACGGAGGTTCTTCCAGCTGAACAGTCCGGTACTGTGACCAACAATACTCTAACCAGAGCTAAGATGAATCACAGGGACCAGTTTGGTCCGAGTCTGGAGAGGAAGTCAGCGCCTGATAACGAGTATTTAGAAGTGAGAGCCACTCCCTCACCTCCTCCTCCTAGGGAAGAGAGACCCGTACCTCCACCTCTACTTCCCAGAACACCCCCAACCAGATCTACCGCTCAACCCCTCCTAACTCCTCCTAGAGGTACTATTTCTGCAGGGATCTTGTCAGCTACTACTGCTGCTGTTGGGGCACCCTTCACCCCTCCCAGGATTCCTCAGAGAGCAGGTGGGTCTGCCTTATTTTAATTCTCCTCATTGCTCGTTGGAGATTTGACCAATTGCAAATACAGTGATCTAAAAAATTCGGAGTCAATTTTGCGCATCAAAATGAAAATCGATACCTATCTTTCAAAAGAGGCTTGTGAGTAGAGTAACAAGTAAATCTCAAAGGCACAATAATAACACAAAACATGTTCCAGGAACTGTAGCGGGGGGACAACACCACAACCCCTTCCTAGAAGGCTACACCCCACCCAAAGAATCAACCATGAGCCTCTCACGACCCTCCACCTCCCCACGGGGCGGCAGCTTGTACCATGGACCTAACAGAGGGGCTATGACACTGCCTCCCCCCAATAGAGGGGCCACTTTACCACCTAAACCTGGCATCCTTACGTTGAGCAAGAAAGCGCAGGTTTGTTTGTTTGGTGGTTTAAAATTTAAATTCTGTTGTAAGAGAAACCATTGTAAGGCGGAAAGTAGATAGTTAACATTTGATAAGTGTTTGAATTATGACTGCAGCTAGCATTGCATCTAACTTAAGTCTACTTTACTGAAATGTCTAATTTCCTGTTATTCAGTTATTCGCCGTAAATCACACCATAGTACGCACTCAGTGACAAAGGAAATCGCGGCATGTACGGAACCGCGATATTTCCCATTATTTGCGACAAATTTTATGTATAGTTTAATGAATACCTAGTCTGTTAAAATTCGCGGTATCGCGAATTTTGGCCAAAATAATCGCGAAATCCTTTTGTCCCTGTACGCACTGTACGAACTTTTAAAAGGTGCCGAACTGTACGAATTTTAAAAAGCTGTCGAGGAATTTTTACCGAATTTTAAACCACTTACCACCGACCGATTTGAAAAACCTTAATCATTTGGCTTCGTCATAGTTTTGTCAGCACTATTTGGGCACTATACAGACAGACATACACTAGACAGACACACACACACATCTATTGAGATTATTAGTTTATATTGGTTATAATATACTAGATTCGTTCGTTAATAATACTCACCGATTATAGCGAGGAAGAAGTCAATAGCAGCGATTATATAGAGCACATAGTTTTCCCAGCCAAAAACATTTCCAAGTTCAGTGATGTTCAGTCTTGGGATGTAATGAACAGTGTTACTTGTCACGGAGGGAGGCATTCTTGCCTTGGTAAAGTTCATTATAGGAGCGACCCCTGATGTACAGTGGTATAAAAGTCAGTCACAAACCGATGCCGACTATTTGGAGTATAAAATAAAATAAAATCTCGGTTATGTAATTCTCGTTATATAGCACCACGCAGGAGAAAATATCGCGTCTAGACCATCGTAACGTTGACGCAGTTAAACTAATGGCAAGAATATACCCTCTCACAGGTTGAGATGTATCGGGAGTGGGAGTACTATATGTAATTATAATCTGCTTTACAAAGTTTTCGATCTCTTTTAAATTGCACGTTCATCTATAAAAGTTCAGCACTGAATTTTCTAATCTTCTACTTTTCTATGGAACGGTTGTTTTAGAAACAGCTTTTCAATTCAATTAAATAACTTTAAAATCTGGTTTATAAAATGCAATCGTTTAATGAGTGCTGTAGCATCAATCCTGATCTCTATGATATATTAGTATTTAGTAGTGATATCGCAAAGAAATCCAATTAAAATCGATAATATTGCGTCAAATGAAAATTATCTTTAGTGGTCGCTTTCTTTGAACAAAATTCTTAATGATTTTAAACCATAAAATAAATCTTGACTCATATCTGATTTCGTGATAATGGTAAATAAAGAGTATTTTAACCTCGCTAAAAGCACCGGTCGTTTGAAAAGGTACTTATCTATCAAAGGCCTGACATCTGAGTTAATTTAAGTTCTTTCGGTTAAATCCAAGTTCGAAAATTTATGAGGCGAATTTTTCCCGAACTAATTCCGAACTGAAAAAAGGTGCCGAACTGTACGAATTTTGTACGACTTTTGTACGAACTGACCAACTATGCGTAAATCGACTGGTAATAAGTTATAAGTAATCATAAAAGATAGGTTTTGTTTGGTCGGAATCTAATTTGTAAATTTTTATTTTATTAAAACCGCTGAATTAATACTTATCCGGGTTCTTACATTTCCATAATTATTACAACGATTAAAGTGGAATGATCATTCGTCATACAAATCAATACTATTGATTGAATAAGCATGTTATGCATCACGTCACACCACGTGACGTGACGTCACACAACGTGACGTGACTTTTGTCCATCTCAGGACGAATTTGACGCCATTCCAGACTCCCCGACTCCTACAGAGGAACTACATCGCTCAACCAGCGACCCTATACAGAGTAGTGCAAACACTACAATCATAAAGAGCGGGAACAGCAAATATCCTACCATACAGAATAATAATCCAGGTCAGTGCAGCAAACAAATCGTATAATTTTAATTAAACGGGAGAAGACCGTAAATAAAGATGATGAGCTTGTTAATCTTAATATTGAGTAGATAATTACGGTAATTTTTACGTAAAATAAGTCAACAAAAACCTCATTTACCATGTAACAGGTATGGTTAAAGTTAAGCCGGGATATCAAAATGTTACAGAAGTTAAAGGAGCCCTTCAAAGTAGAGGGGACTCAGTTCAAGGTAAATTATTAAAATAACTGCTTTCTTAATTTTCTAAATTAGCTATTAATCAGTGCAGTAATCCGTTAGAGCTGGTAATTTATTTTTAACCTATTTTATCAAGGTAGCTTGTCCTTCTGAAAGTGTTTGATAATGTTACGAGTGAACTTTTAGCTTTAGTGCTAAGTAGGATAAATACTTTCGTATTAGTGTTACAGAAAATATTTATATGTTCGAATGTATTAATGTAAATTTATGTAAATGGGTCTCGGATTTTTGAATGGATTTTTGAATGTGGTCAGAGGTAACATGTAAAGATCTAAGTGCGGTGGGTGCGGAATCGAACTATTCACCTAATACCGCACTTCCCCGCACCATTGGCTGATATTCGAATAACTAATCCGTACAACTTACCAAAAGTAAATAATTTTGCATTTTCCAATTAAATAATTAACCCAATAGCTAATTGACTAATTTTATCAGGAGAGAGGCATGGTAAACTAAACAGAAGACCAGTACCCGAGCCGGGTTACACTCCAATGGGGACTATGGAAGAGAGGATGAAACGAGCCGCTGCTTCCAATGAGAGAGAAGTTAGTTAACATTTTATTATATAATATAATTTGTACAAATTTGCATACATTTTATATAATTATTATGTAAATGTTGTATAATTAGTTGACTGGCTTATGAATAGTGAATCGATTTAATTTTATTGCACAGTGTGGGTGAGTTAAGTTGTATTAATAGTCATTTGTAAAAAGCGGCTGCGGCCAACATATTAATAGTTGAAATTTAAAAGCTTGACTAATTCAATAATTCATCACTAAATATTCATTAAATTACTGCTCTGTGATGAATCACCAGAATAAGTTCTCTTTTCTCCGCCAGTAGAGAGGAGTTTATGACAACAACCGCTTCACACGATTTATTTTATTTTCAAACATTTTTGGTCGAAAGAAAATGTTTGATTCAGTGATATAGAATCAACACGCAAACTTATTAAAAGCGGAGAAAACCCCAAAATATCTGTCAGTCATAGAGGAAAGCCCTAAATATCTGACAACTATAAAATTCGATAAATCAATAAACTTGTCAACTGTAAAGTTTTAAAATGCCAGTAAAGCGTGAGAACATTGCATCCAGGGCATTCGAAACATTAAGAACCGATAAAGACAAATGTGATTTAACCTAGTGAACCTCTCTCTCTCTCTCTCTCTCTCCCCCCCTCTCTCTCTCTCTCTCTCTCTCTCTCTCTCTCTCTCTCTCTCTCTCTCTCTCTCTCTCTCTCTCTCTCTCTCTCTCTTTAGCTCTGGAGAGTGTCAACAAGTGAAAATATGTGTTATATCTTAATTTCGCGTCCTAAAACCGAGGCACTTTGTGACAAACTAGCAACGATAGACCTTCAAGTTCTTCTAATGCTATTCAGGTACAAAAAATGTAGGCGACAGCATATTTCGGTATGTGATGGCCAAAGAAGTCATGTCACGTGGTAAAGAATTTCATGTCAAGTGGGATAAGATTACAATTCACGTGGGTGAGACTCGAGAGTCGACAGGCGTGAAGATTCAGGTTGAAGGCTGCTAGTGTCAGTTCTTTGACAGGGATGAGGGGATATGTGTCACGGGAATTTTTGAAATTCCTCCGCAGACTATTAGCGAGGTAGTCAATCAGCAGCCTTTACTCACATCACGTGACTTGCGTTGGCCAATGGGAGACTGGTATCTTAGACTAACGATTTGGGAATTATTATCGGACCTATCACTACAAGTAGAATATGTGCTACTTTAATCCAGATATATACCATAATCTGCTGGTTGCTGTAACCAGTAAATGATGCAACTTTACAGCTAATGTTATTATGACGTCACACCACGTGATATGACGTCACACCACGTGACATGACGTCATCAGATAATACTTCCAGGGTTACGAGCCGATGATGTCGCACGAAGCGAGGATGGCAAATGCTCAGATAAACCAACAAAACTCTCGACCTCTCCCACCGCGTACTCTGGCGGTCTCAGGTAAAAATGAAATCTTAACAGTAATATTGGAGGGGGACTGTGGGATTGATATTTACCATTGATGAAATGATAACTATGTCTAAAGCACCAGTGTCATAGTTTAAATTGCAGAACTGATGACGGATCGTAATTCTGTCTACAATTTGATTATGGTCATTAACATTCAAACTCCAACATGACCAGTAGGTTGTAGCGACTGCAACTGCCTCATGATAAAATAATAGTGCAATAAAATTAACTGACAAAAATTTAATCAGCTAAAGCCTTGACAACAATAAGCAATTATAACCATAACAAAAACAGCAGATTAATAGAAGGTCCAACCTACTGGGGTCACTGCAATAAATGTGACGGTATCAGACACCAGACTGCTATCGCATCCTGACTCCCTATTTCACAATAACTGTGATGTGACATGTGGCCCTATATTATACTCTGCTAGTCCCACATATTATACTATGCTAGTCCCACATATTTATTTTACCATGAAATGGCCAGGGACCTAAACCTTGACCTTCTGGGTCCTGTTCTGATCTTTGTGACCATTACGATCATTACATAACACTATAAAGTATTGCATAATATTAAGGAATAAGGCAAAGCATTGATAAGAACACGAGGAGCAGCTAGCATTCGCCACGGTCTACTCCCAAACTCAGATAGTTTATAAAGTTTACCTAGTTTATATAAGACGCTAATATAGGCGGTTTTGAAGGCGGTACGTGCTGAACGATGCATTCATATCATCACTTAATACCATGATATTTGTTACTACTATTAACGAATCTATCTTATCATTGAGCTGCAATGTTGTCGCTCATATCAGTATTCACCATTAGTATTAGCAATTAGTGCTGCCTGTCACTGCTCACTTCAGGAAAACAATAATATTAGAGGTAGACAAACGACAAATGACAAGGCAGGAAATGAGGAAACTGCGTCAAACATTGTCCGTGCATTATTTTCTCAGTCGTAAATTCCGCGTTCTTAAAAGCTTAAAGTTAAGAATCACGAGTATTTGAGCTTTGGGGTCGTGAAGTTTTTTTTCCCGTCCTATTCTAATGATTATTATTATGAGGTAACTTTGTAGTTACTGTGTGGTTCATGTGTGGTTCATGTGTGGTTACTGTGTGGTTACTGTGTGGTTACTATGTGGTTGGTAACTACAGGGGTTACTTTGAACTTTGAAGTGTTCTAAAAGTGTGGAACTAGAAGTATAAAAGCCATGTTTATATCGTCATCCTCTCAAGAGTATCCAGTCTTTGGGGCACGAATACTTGAATAGTGACTTTTTGGCTCGAGATAGAGTTCCCCTCCCTCATTAACAAATCTTAGTTATCCGTGTTCACAGCTATATTGACGAATACGACAAATATTTGGCGTCACTAATTTAAAATATCAACAAATATCCCTCGTATCTATTAACAAATTGTTAACAAATCGGTATTGACTATTAACAAATATAAGTCATCACTATTAACATTTACACCCTAACTAACCTCTTTGTCTCTCCACAGGTCGTGACCCGGAGTATGTAGACGCTACAGGCGCCGCCCCCTCGCCAGTTTACGTAGCCACCTCCGGAGCCGCACCTTCCCCAATATTCGTGGAGTCCGGACGATTGCAAGCCCAAATAACTGCAGATATATCACATCAACCTGAGTTTATGAGGCTAGGTGAGATTGATATGACTCTGAGTGACTTTCTGCCCATGACTTCTGGGGATGACTACCAGGATGAATATTTAACGATGGAAAGTTTAGGATCTTATCAGGGTAGATCACAGCCTCATGATGATTACCTGGCTATGGCTCCTCCACCTGGGGACTATCTTGAGATGGAGGCCCGGCCTCCTGCAGATGACTATTTAGCGATGGAGCCTCATAGCGATTATTTAGCGATGAATTCCTCGGCCAGTGTCCCTGATAAGTATTCAAATTTAACGTTTTCAAATAGCTGAAACTATAAATAGAGATAGGCCTCTTGATGAGACCTCTTTTACTCGATTGAATGCCGGAAATACGAGTTACTACAGAATTCAGAAGAGCAAGCACATGATAGTCAAAATTACTGGTCGAACACAGTGATTCTACAATCTACAATAAGATAAGCTTTATGTCGACCCTCCTTTCTAATACTGCTGACAATAATTAATAAAGTAAAATGATAATGATATGGGATCTATGAGTATACTATGACAATAATAATATCTGCACAGTAGCTATATGTGTAAACTGGCTTACGGAGCTGTGAGGGGTCATAAGTGTTAACGACTCCTCGCCCAGTTGACAGTAAATCAAATTATCAGTCAAGTAGCACTAATAGCAGGTATCTCAATCATGGTTATATTAGACAAAACAGCAAGGCCGAGATCAGTTTTAATTTTTATATTGTTTTACAGTGATTTTAAGATGTGATTGTCGACATGTTACAGCAAATATTATTATCATTTTTACTTTCTGTGTATCGGAATTCAGTATTAAAATTTGTACAATTACATTCCCGGAATTCGATTTCTTCATCATTTATACGTACTTATATGAAGTCTCCAAATATTACACTACGTGTAATATTTGCAGAGGTTGAAAACAAATATGTCGTTCCTTATATTATTCGATTAATGATTCATTTTCATTTCTGCAATACATAAACTGCAGTGGATAGATTGAAAAAACATAATTTTTATGAAGTCAGCCTTAACAATAACATTCTGTAATTGTAATATTTTGTAAATTGAAGCTTAGATTTAAATTCCAGTTGTTAACTGTTGTTTGATATTCTTAATAATTTCCCGTAGTTCAACCCGGAACAAAGGAGAATTGTCCTGAGACTTTTTTATGCTTGACCTCACATAGAAATGTAACTGGGGATCTGCCTAACAGTAACAGAAATCAGGGTATCGCGACGTGAGTGGTGAGACTATCGTATCCAAAAACGACAACTGTTTTTTAATAAAACTTCAGTTGTTTTCAAATGGGGGGGATGCAACGTCAATTAATGTCAATTAATGTCAATTAATGTCAATGTCAGTTTTGCAAAATTTTGGAATACTGACATTAATTGACACGATATTTTTCGACCAGAGATTATGTAGTTCTACCATATTTTTAGCACTTTAGAACGTTTATATCATCAATTTATTCACTACTATCACATATGGAAATGTGAAATGTGAAAAAATTCAGATCATTAAACAATAAAACTAAAATAATACGGTTTTCCGAAATTTATTTTTCTTAAATGGGCGTGGCCATCCAAGGGCGTGGTTCTCAACATAATCAGAACTTAAAACCCACATTAAACGAAATACCTTCATGACATTTATATGTGAATAACGAATCTTAAACAGCTAACATTACTCCTTCATACTAAAAAAGCCGATTCTAGATATTTTACCTGTATAAGAAACCAATAAAATATGGGCGTGGCCGGTGGGGACCGAAGATGTAAGAGTTGGGAGCTGACTTTTTTTTTTGTGGTCTTTGAACCTAAGGATCAACAGATAAGAACATACTCATAATAATTCAAGGACATTTTGTTTTTTTTGAACCGGTCTAACTTACATAGACGTGAATATCTTGAATATTTATCGAATAATGATAATCTCAAATTTCAAGACACATTAATGTCAATTAATGTCAATTAATGTCAATTAATGTCAATTAATGTCAATGTCAGTTTGGGGTTTTTATGGAATACTGACATTAATTGACGTTGCATCCCCCCGGGGGGGGGGGGGGGTACCAATGGCATAAATGGCATAATGGAGAATTGGCCAATAAAAATTTCCATTTATGCCATAAAACGTATGCCATTTATGCCATTTTTGATATAATACATTTCTATTTTCTTTATTTGTCATATGAATCTTTAACAATCATTCCAAGCGTTATAAAGCATGAAACATGTCTCTTATTCAAGTACTAATAATAATTTGCGAATTGAAAGTCAAATATGAAGACCTAAATTCATGGCATAAATGGAGAATTGGCCAATAAAAATTTCCATTTATGCCATAAAACGTATGCCATTTATGCCATTTTATGCCATTGGTACCCCCCCATCCCCCCCTTTCAAATACGACAAGAGTCTTCAAATACGATTATCGTGTATGAAAAAGGGCTATCGATTTCACTTCGATCGTTTTTAATACCGTGTACCGTATGATTAAATTGGCGATTCGCCACAACTTGGTCATCGTAGCCGCACATCACATGCGGCATGTGCGCGCGTGGATCGCTCTAACTTAACTCGCGCGCAGCTTTATTTGCATAGTCGGTGTCTGTGCTTGGATCACGTAAATTTGTTCGCGCGTTACGTAAACAGCATAAAATTCCCTTCGGTTCAGAAGGACTTTCGACAAATCTGTTCCAAATAAAAAGATCGAAAATCGAGTGTTTTAGTGAATAACTTAGAATATAATTTTGATTTTCTCAAGATCTGACAGATAGATTTTCTTTAAACTTTCCAGATAGTTAGATGGCTATATGACGGATAATGTGTAAGAGTTTGGGAGAATTTCTATATGCCAAAATGGAGATATGACTTCAAACACAAGAAAATATCTCCAAATTGGCGGGTTCTAGCGGAACACAGGTATATATTTAGAGATCTGAATGATAGATTTTCTTTAAACTTTCCAGATAGTTACATGGCTATAAGACGGATAATCTGTGCGATTTTGGGTGAGTTTCTATGTGGTAAACTTGAGATATGACTTCAAACACAAGAGAATATCTCCAAATTGGCGGGTTCTAGCGGAACACAGGCACATATTTCGAGATCCTACGGATAAATTTCCTTTAAACTTTCCAGATAGTTACATGGCTATAAGACGGATAATCTGAGCAAGTTTGGGCGAATTTCTATGTGCCAAACTTAAGATATGACTTCAAACACAAGAAAATATCTCAAATTGGCGCGTTCTAGCGGAACACAGGCACATATTTCGAGATCCTACTGATAAATTTTCTTTAAACTTTCCAGATAGTTGTATGGCTATGAGACGGATAATCTGAGCAAGTTTGGGTGAATTTCTTTTAAGTGCCAAACTTGAGATATGATTTCAAACAAAGAAAATATCTCAAATTGGCGGTTTCTGCAGGATGCAGGCATATATTTCAAGATCTGACCGATAGATTTTCTTAAAACTTTCCAGATAGTTACATGGCTATAATAGGAACAATCTGTGCGAGTTTCGTTGAATTCTTATGCCCCAAATATTAAAATCTACAAATCGGTGGTTTAGAGTGTTACCAAGGATGGCACATAACATAATAGAGCTTAATAGACCTTGAACAGTTATGCTCGAAGATCTTCTTTCTCCAACAAGTATTAATGTAATAAGTAATGAGTGGAGTATTACGGTGAGGGTGACCACGTATCATTAAATAGAAAATGCAACTTTAACTGTCAGAATGGATTCAGCATCTAAAAACAGATGACTGCCAGTTTTTACGTAACGCTAACATTATTCTCAACAGCAGGTCTTTCAATCGTATCGTTCCCTTGTCTCCTTCGTGGTACATTCAGGTTAAAAACTTTTTACTTCTTTTTTACATCCTAATATCGTGGGACATGGTATAGATTGAATATTGCGGACACGTGATCCGAAATCTGAATATAAGATTATAATTTGAAATGAAATGAAATGAAATGAGGTATTTATATCCCGCTCGTATGATTAACCAACAACACAAGGAAGGTGGTTAACCATGTCAGAGCGGCTGACTGTGAGTGATGTGAGCAAATGTGTAGAAATGAACAAGATTATAACGTAATATTAATATAAGACCAAGACAAAATTAAAACATCTTTTATTTTAAACCACACTAAACTAAAAAGAAGCAGAGACCATACAATACATGTAGGTATAATAAAGGTTAGTACAGTGTCATAGAAAGGTAGAGAACTTCGACATAAAATGGAGTGCGGTAAGAAATAAAAGCCAAGGTGTCTTGCAAAATACAGTGTTGTAAAGGACGACAGCATCATTTGGGGACATTTATTTGTTTAAAATAATAGGTACTTGTTTTAAATAAGTTTCTTTCAGACGACTACTCAATGCAACAGCCCTAAATTGATATTGCGACCGTCCTGTTACTCTCTTAGATGCCCTCTCTGCAAAGTATTGGACGAGAATTGATTTAAGTAAGAATTTTAAATTAAGATCATGATTTTCAAAAATTCTTCGACTTGCACTTTGAATAATATATATAGCCATACAACTATCTGGAAAGTTTAAAGAAAATTTATCAGTAGGATCTCGAAATATGTGCCTGCGTTCCGCTAGAAACCGCCATTTTGAGATATTTTCTTGTGTTTGAAGTCATATCTCAAGTTTGGCACATAGAAATTCGCCCAAACTTGCTCAGATTATCTGTATCATAGCCATACAACTATCTGGAAAGTTTAAAGAAAATTTATCAGTAGGATCTCAAAATAATCGACTTTCGTCAAATATCGTTCCGAAACCGCCAATTTGAGATGTTTTCATGAGTTTGAAGTCATATCTCAATTTTGGCACATAGAAATTCGCCCAAACTTGCTCAGATTATCTGTCTCATAGCCATACTACTATCTGGAAAATTTGAAGAAAATTTATCAGTAGGATCTCGAAATATGTGCCTGCGTTCCGCTAGAAACCGCCATTTTGAGATATTTTCTTGTGTTTGAAGTCATATCTCAAGTTTGGCACATAGAAATTCGCCCAAACTTGCTCAGATTATCTGTCTCATAGCCATACAACTATCTGGAAAGTTTAAAGAAAATTTATCAGTAGGATCTCAAAATAATCGACTTTCGTCAAATATCGTTCCGAAACCGCCAATTTGAGATGTTTTCATGAGTTTGAAGTCATATCTCAATTTTGGCACATAGAAATTCGCCCAAACTTGCTCAGATTATCTGTCTCATAGCCATACAACTATCTGGAAAATTTGAAGAAAATTTATCAGTAGGATCTCGAAATATGTGCCTGCGTTCCGCTAGAACGCGCCAATTTGAGATATTTTCTTGTGTTTGAAGTCATATCTCAGGTTTGGCACATAGAAATTCGCCCAAAATCGCACATAATATCCGTCTCACAGCCATACAACTATCTGGAAAGTTTAAAGAAAATTTATCAGTAGGATCTCGAAATATGTGCCTGCGTTCCGCTAGAAACCGCCATTTTGAGATATTTTCTTGTGTTTGAAGTCATATCTCAAGTTTGGCACATAGAAATTCGCCCAAACTTGCTCAGATTATCTGTCTCATAGCCATACAACTATCTGGAAAGTTTAAAGAAAATTTATCAGTAGGATCTCAAAATAATCGACTTTCGTCAAATATCGTTCCGAAACCGCCAATTTGAGATGTTTTCATGAGTTTGAAGTCATATCTCAATTTTGGCACATAGAAATTCGCCTAAACTTGCTCAGATTATCTGTCTCATAGCCATACAACTATCTGGAAAATTTGAAGAAAATTCATCAGTAGGATCTCGAAATATGTGCCTGCGTTCCGCTAGAACGCGCCAATTTGAGATATTTTCTTGTGTTTGAAGTCATATCTCAGGTTTGGCACATAGAAATTCGCCCAAAATCGCACATAATATCCGTCTCATAGCCATACAACTATCTGAAAAGTTTAAAGAAAATGTATCAGTAGGATCTCGAAATATGTGCCTGCGTTCCGCTAGAAACCGCCATTTTGAGATATTTTCTTGTGTTTGAAGTCATATCTCAGGTTTGGCACATAGAAATTCGCCCAAAATCGCACATAATATCCGTCTCACAGCCATACAACTATCTGGAAAGTTTAAAGAAAATTTATCAGTAGGATCTCGAAATATGTGCCTGCGTTCCGCTAGAAACCGCCATTTTGAGATATTTTCTTGTGTTTGAAGTCATATATCAGGTTTGGCACATAGAAATTCGCCCAAAATCGCACAGAATATCCGTCTCATAGCCATACAACTATCTGGAAAGTTTAAAGAAAATTTATCAGTAGGATCTCAAGATAATCGACTTTCGTCAGATATTGTTCCGCGGAACAAATGGAACAGAAAGTCCAACTCCTTCGGTTATCAAGTCTAAGTAGCTGATGTCCCTATGATCAATGATGCTTTGCATTGATAAAAAGTTAGCAGATAGATAAAGTATCAATAGGTCGAGCATGCGGAGCTGTTGCTATATTCATCGCTCAGCAAAGCTAATAATGTAATACAAAGAGCCTACAACTTACAAGTTGGAACTTGGAGGGGAAACTGGAAAGGGACACGGTCGTGGTCTATGCGTTGATAAAGTGTACGATACAATTTTACTGATAGAAAATAAAACGTTATAATTTGAACAGTAGAAAGTTTAGATTAATTTACAAATATTAACAAACGTACACACACGATCTTAACATACACGGAAGAATCTTTTAAAATAAATTAACTCAATTTAGATTGTTCAACGCAAAAAGTAAAAGTAAATATGCAAAACAAATATTGCATCGGTTAATCTTTTTAATTAAACTTGGCGATTATCATTCAAAAAAATTATAAGTTCATTAATTATCATTGAAAAAAGAAATGGAAAATACAATCTACCAGGAAAACTCAAAAAGTTTCAATAACATTAATAATTAAACAAAAATACACTCTTATATTGATTGCACAGAGGCATGATGCCACATGTGTACATTATAATGTAGCTGTGCGAATCAATACTCAGGTCATATAGCTTAGTTTGAATTTATGATTCATTGAATCCCCGGAAAAAACTGAGGGTTTATCAATTTTATACACATGTATGTATTATATAGTTATAACTTTTAAATTGGTTGACTGCAATATCATAAACAGTACAGATTGAAAAAAATCCCCTCTAATTATCATTACAAATATTGTTATCATTTTATGGCAAAGTAAAGTTAACTGGACTCGTTACAACAACAGAACGTTCCAAACAGCTTTTAGTAGTTGTAATAATGTATATATTCAGGGTACATAATACATATCCCCATTGTACACTCAAGTTAACACAATCTAACACATGCCGTGTCTTATCATTTAATTTTAACACTGTAATGTATACAATATATATGGTACAATATATTATATGGTATATAATAATCGTGTAAAAGTACTCCTAAATACTACATTACATAATACGTTATTTAAGCCACTCTTTCTTTAAGTAGAATTGTTTATTTTTCTGGACACGTTTCCGCCCACCATTAGGATCTTTATTCTCCTTGTTTGAATGAAAATATTGGTCTCTCATCGACTTTTGATTAATCACGTGACTAGAATACTGATCACTGATTGGTTGTTTCCTCAGAGAGGTAACGTGAGGTTTGGACAGGGAGGAATGCTGGTATTGCTCCTTCATAATCTCGTCGTGATACAGGTTATCCACAACGTCGATAAAATCTTTCTTTACTCCACGTACAACAAGATCTGAAACAAAAGTAAAGATTATCATTGTTAAATGAATAAACACTACACACAGTGTAATAATTCGACATTCATATATTTGTGTACCTGGCGTAAAGGGACGACTAATATAAAGGGACGGTTACGCATTACACACTGCATTGAAGATAAACTGAACGATTAGAATTGCAAGATAACGTTAACAACTACACATTCAGCGTGTGATAGTTTATGTGAATGAAAAAATTTAACTGTATTTGTGATTGAGTATAAATACGATGATGATAAAACAATATAACAAATGAAATTTATTTTAACATATAACTGTTTTAGTCAAAGAATTACCAGGCTGAGAGGCAGGAGTGTCAGGAATGTGGTAATTATAAGGATCATAACCGTCGGTAATTGTATCCAGAAAATCAGTTGCTGATCCCCTGCCGCTATCAACCGTTGTCCCCAACTTTGGCTGCAAACGATCGGGTTAGATCTATGATTATATTGCGAAATATTTAAGAATCCGCACAATTAACGATCACTACCAGTAATTAAATTTGTAGTGGTTGTCCCCCTAAAAAAAGATTGTAGATTGTTTTATATCCCTATAAAATGCATCTTAAACCAAAAATAGTCGCATAAATATTTTGTGATGCAGAATGATTTCAATCAATATTACATTAAAATAGATTTATATAGACTATCATCATAGTTAATACGTAACATAACATTAACATGATTTGAAACATAACATTTACAACGTGAACTGTTGCTTCGCAGCAGTGCACATTCAAAAAAATATAGATTAAATATGCAATCTGCATCTTAAAGCTTAAAAAAGAGTCGCATAAATATTTTGTGATGCATAATGATTTTACCATTATTCACCTCTATTTAACACTGTTTACCACCTCTATTTACTACAACAGTTCAGTGAACAATAGCTACAATTACCATTCTAGAACATGCTGTTTTACATGTTAATCCGTAACATTAATCGCTTTTAGCACACATATAAAATCATGCGTTTTAATACTGTATAATGTATAATATTTATCATATAATATATCTTAATCTGTTTTTTAATCTGACCAGTAACCTAAGAAAAGTAGCACTGTATTGCTATCACACCTACAGATTAGCAAAAACAAAACAACAACATGGATAACAACAACAGCTCCAGACCCACAAACAGATGCGATTTAACCGCTCCGTCTCGAACAACTACAGACATTTTAAAACTTTTGCGTGCAAGTAATTTAAAATGTCGGCCGGCGAAGGTGAAAGTCAATAAATTCTCAATTCACAAGTCTTGGAACTGACGCCGAGAGAGAGAGAGAGACTTGTGAGCTATGCTTATCAGTTGAGATTGCTTGTTAGTTACGCTGCACTGTGAAACATATTTGCTCACAGCTCAGCTACAACATTGTCGGAGTAGGTCTGGTTTCTGCTCCAGTACTCTGGTGTCTTCTCTGTTTTTAAAAAGGACAAGGCTTTTACAAACTCGTGCTTTGCAAGTGCTTTTATTTCAATTTGTGTGTTTTTGTGAGTGTTGTTTTCATGGCAAGCTAGGTTTTGTATTGAGCATCGAATTAATTTAACTCCGCTCCAAGTATTCTAGTTTATTTATAGAGGTCAGCGTTGGTGAGGTATCAGGCGTATTTTTCTTAATTTTAAAATTCAAACTTCGTATCCGCAGCCAGACTATTATGATTTGTATTACAATAGCTCAATAGTCCTCTTTAAACCTTTTTAAAACCTTTTGATATCTTAAAATCGCTAAGAACTAGAATGGACTAAACCATTGAACTCTCCGAAAAGCTATCAAGGATAGCTGATAACTCTAATCAGAGATATCTGAAGACTTCCAAAAGAAAACCACACAAGAATCAAGGAGATTCAAGTAGAAACTCCCCTAACAAACGCTGTGTTAAAATACAGAGATAATGCTGATAACAGTGTTTGTTTCCACACTACTTCTGCTTCCAGCTGTTACGCTGGGTGATGTGGTGTGTGGAGGCGTGACTTGTAGCAATATACAAACATGTTGTGCTGATCAGGTCAGTGGTAATACTTCTAGGTTATTATAATTGGTACCTTTTAGTTACTATAATTGTGCTGTTTATTAAAATATTGTTTATATTATATATTGATTATTAATAATAATCAATATAATTTAAACAGCACAATAAACACATTATAAATAGATATAATAATTGATTATTATATCTATTTATGTGTTTATTAAGTAACAGTCCTGTACATTATATTTAGTATAATATATCCTACATTTTATGGAAGACAGGGATTAACCCGGTTTGAAACATAAAGCATGGTACTCGAAAGTAATCCTCATCCTAAAAGTGGAAGGAGTTCTCATCTCGACCCAAGTCCCAAACTTCATGGCATATAAATCTACTTGGCCTAATATCTGTAAAAACTTATTTATTTTAATATCAACTCTACAGGAAGCCTGTTGTATGAAGTCCTCGACCTCATCACTAGCTGCTATAGTTGGGGTCATGTTTGTAGTCTGCCTTACCGCTACCGGACTAGGAATCTGCCTCTACTTCAAGAAACGTGTTCACAGGTGAGGGAACGTGACTTTGTACCACGTGGCTTCTATCACGTGCCTTTGCAGCACATTTCTTCATATCACGTGATGTTAATATCACGTGATGTTGATATCACGAGACTTGTGACGTCATATAACGTGAGAAAAACTTTTAAGTTCAACATTCCCATATGATTTATACTTACTTACTAAGTTTTGAGCTATTAAATCATATTTTCTTTTACGCATGCTCTATTGTGTATTTTAACTTATTGCCTAAAATAACTTATTTGTCTAAATTATATACATAATATTTTAAATTATCAATTGTCTCACTTTAAAGTTATCTGTTCTTGTTAAGTAAATTATTTGTTTTTAGGGACACGCCTGATGTGTACTTTAAACTATTATATTAAAAGTAAATTATATGTTTGTAAGGACACAGCCCAATTGTCTTAGATTACTTTAAAGTTATTAATATTATAGTCAATTATTCGTTTTCACGCCCAATATCTCACTTTAAACTTAAATATATTGTTTTTGAACTATTTATTTGCTTTCAGGGACACAGCCTACACCACTGACGATATAGAAGGAATGTTCGCTACATCACTTTACAAGGAGATGAAAAGCAAAGTAGAACCAACGCTTAGCAACCAAACAGTGCCATCACGCAACGGTTCGATGAGATCACGTGAGAACATGATGACGTCACGTGACAACCTTTCAGCTGAAACTCCAGGTCTGATCTGCGAGGATATCCCCAACATAAACCCGGGTTCGCAACACACGGAGTTAGCGGTGATGCAGAGTGCTGCCAGTAATTACTCCATTCCGGGGAGTGTCATATCACGTGATCATATGATGGCGTCACGACAGGCGAGTATTGGGACGGTTACCTCGATAGACAGGGCTACTGGAACAGAAAGTGTTGAGACTCAGGTTGGTAGCTTTTCACTTTTACAGTTTACATAAAAATCAGATATTAAAATAACACTCATTATATATCTATTAGCATGCCTTGATATATATATTACCTATATATATTTGCAACGGTTTGACTGTTAAATTATAAGGAATTTATCATCGAGAACGGAATGTGTTCTAAACGATATTGATGGGAAAATAATCGTCAATACCACATTATGGCTCTAGCCCCATGACAGTGACCTTGGGACAGATCACAGCTTCACAGAACTATAGGGCATTACGACATAAATGATCTCTCACAACTATTTTTCAGGTGACATCAGCAAAACGCACTGTAGTAACAGTAAACCTTAACATGAAAGAGAAAGAGAACATAAAACTAAACATCTTCATGAACAAAGACAGAGCGGAAGCAGTTGCGGAAGAGGTAGAATCCAACGCTTCATTCCCACGGGGGCTAAGCGCTAAACTGGGCAGAAAAAAGAGCGCTAAAAGATCTAGTTCAAGTTCTGGTGACCAGAAAGTAAGTGCCGCAAGTATCACTAAGAAGGAGCCTGTGAAGAAGATGAGTTCTAAGTCGTCAGGGAGACCCAAGACTCCAGTGAAACAGAAGGTGTCTGGGAGAGCATCTTCCGCGAAGAAAAAGAAGAAAACTTGAACTTATCATGAATTTGGTTGTTAAATACTTGTCAATTTGTTAGAACTTGTTGAACTGAGAAGGATTTTTAGTAAAGGAAGAGTGCACTGATCCCCACTTATAGGATTCAATTATTGGACCTAGTTCTTACTATTTCAGTATACTGTAAATTTAAATTGATCGAAAATTATGTGGAAATCATATCATTATTTCTTGGGGTAATATCTTTATTTCTCTCTTAATTTCTATCATTTAACCTTGGCTTGGATTTGAATTCATTGATTTACATAGATTGGTTATAAACCATTATTAGGTATAAGTCATAAGAATAACATCAGTCTAAATAGGGGCATAGCTTCTGAATAAATAGTGGCGGAACTATAACGAATAATAATGCAATCTGTTAACATCCAGTTTGGCAAATGTTTACGATAATAATTCATGATTCATTTAATATAATGATTCTAATTCTTACTTGGTTATTCCTTAATTTGAGAATGAACCCGACATTATAAGAGATTTGCTCTGATAAAATGATGTGTTTTTCATTGATACCGGGATTATTGCAACTTTGTTCGGTTGTGCTCTGTTTTTAATAACAAAACAGTAAATTTTCCCACTGGAATATTTTAATCTATTTTTCTTTTTAATCCACCTATAACTCTATAAACTGTTCAAAACGTTTCAGCTGTAATGATTAACCTGCTTCCTCTCTAACGTGGCTTTACTTCAGTCCCCAAAATAATGCTACAAATCTATGCAAGTACTGCACTGTACAATTATTCAACCTCATTGCAGTCTCTCGGACTCTCTCTCTTTTTAAAATCACTGGATCTTTGCCTGACAACTCTTTTATTCTCAGAGTAATCTATCAGTGGGAGTTACATCAGAATACAATACTAAACCATTGATCAAATACAATGGTTAATGACCGCGCGGAGATCTCAAATCGCTCCGAAAATTTAACAGTTTAACGGTACTTGCTATTGATGAATAGCAACTTATTATATCTTTATATGGGCAATTCCACGTAGTGTAATTCACACTTTGCACAAAATTTAGCTTTTAATTGGATGGTAATTGTAGGCTAACATTAGCATCATGATAATATAAAGTCAGAATGAAGTTTAAACGTTTGTGATGATGTGGCAACAAAAGTTTAATGTCTATCTCTTATACTTTTTATGTGAGCAGCATTTTAAAAAGTAGACGTTATTCACAGGCAGAATTTGGTGTTTTAGAAATCTTGCCTTAAAATTGCAATTCGTGCCCCAGTGTAATAGCAGAAGTTACAATAAGGCTTGATCACAATAAAGTACACATTTTTTCAACTTCCTATGTCCTTCCTAACATAAATTTGTGGAATGTGTGTAGTACAGGGACAATATAGGAAGTAAACGTTATTCACATTTGGACGTAGTGTAACTCACACTCTGCCCAGTTGCTCTGTTTGTGCGTTGTATTGATGTTTGCTTGTTCTTGATTTGGTTGCTGCTATTGTAAAATGGTGAAGTAGACTGACTATTACTGATTTTAAATTAAATTGACTACTAATCGGTCCAATTAGATACTGGTAATGGTGTAGATTACACCCTACTGCCATACCACAGTGGTCGGGGCGCCCATGCGAGGTAGACATAAGATATAGGCATGATTAAGGGGTATGATATACCACAAAACATGTATTCTAGGGGTATCTTGCCCGAAAATAACGTTTAAAAAGGTTTTTAGAGTGATTAAATGGATATTTGACCTCAAATATTAATTTTACCTCATTTTTTGTCAAAAATTGCATTTTTTGGCAATTTTTTGCCATTTTTTAGGACAAACTACAAAAATAAGTTGCAAATTAACTTTGGTAAGCATCTATAAGTTGATCTATCTGTAAGTATAGGACATTTAGAGTAATCCTAGAAAAATGTACAGTGTAATATTGTGGCATGATTTTTTTATGAGCTCTCAAAGGTTCATGATTAGACAGAAATTTATAACTTTTTGAATCCATTTTTAGACCATTTTATCACTTATATCAATTCTAAACTACTTCTTTGTGTTTTTAATGTGAAGAGGTCATCAAGAGCTTTAATTTGATACCTCTATACATGGTTTTTGATAAAAATTATAATTTTTTGGGGCAAAAACACTGCTCTTTTGAGCAAAATTTAGTTACGTGACAAGAAAATAAGGTAATTTTAGCCCCAAATTGCTGATATTTTCTGAAAATAAGCCTTTAAATTACTCAAATAAGTGTTCCCAGACCTAACAATGACTATAAAACACTTTCAAATCAATTTTGATGTCCTAATCCATTTAAAAATCATTATTTTTGCGATTTAAGGTCTAAAAGTGGCACATTTTGCCCTGGCGGAACCCTAATTTCGATTAAATTAACAACACTTTCAGGCAGTTGTTGAAAATAGGTCCCTGGAATTGCCCTGGAAGTATTGAAAGTACAATTTATTTCACAACAAAGCATTTAAACCACTTGTTTTATTAATTTTCCGCTGTGTAAATTACACTACCAAGCTGTGAATTACGCTACCTGTGAATCACACTACCCCTACTTTTTGCACTTCCAGTGTGACAAAACGAATGAAATTTTCTGACCTTTATAGATGACTAAAGTTGCCGTTAGAGAGAGAGTTACGAATCAAACAGACTTATAGTGTAGCCACAGTAAAACATTTTTCACTATTTGGTAGCGTTATTCACACGCGAAGAGGAAAAATTTGATCATAAGACACTCAAAAAATAAAGAAATTTGGCCCTCAAAATTAGGCTGGCCTTCTATCTGAAGCCCACTAGGTTGATATACAGGATAAAATATTGAATTCTACGATTAATAAAGCTCCCTAAAATCTTTCGGAAAATAACTGGATATTCACACTAAAGATACACTAAATTTAAGCCAACTTTGACGCGCTACAGTTTTTAAACTAGGCTAGATATCAACAAACGGTTTTTTGCCCCTGAAAATATGGTCAAATATCTTAAAGATTTTCTATCTCTCCCAAACCACCTCCAAACTTTATTATTTTGTTACTGGTTACCGTTATCGTGGAATTGCCCATATACTTACATATCAGATCTATTCTTGAAACACTATAAAATCATAAAACTACCTGTACCTGAGTTTTAAACAGCTCCAGAGCACTTGCGCTGACATTAACAGCACTGTCATACATTTCATAGGTCGGTGACGTCACGTGGGTTGGGTCTGATGACGTCACGTGATTATGTGATGACGTCACGCGGTGGTCCTGGTCAGGGCTAGTTTGTGGTGGTTTGAAGAATGTCCGTTTTATGGTTCGACAGAAACTCTTGTTGAAATCAGATGCACTCTCTGTTTCACCCTGCAATTACAAAGTTACATTATATTTTGTAAGAACTTAAAGTATGTTCTTACAAAAGCACTCAACTTACAAATACAATCAACATAATTATCACGCACAATGTACAATGTACATTGATGTATAAAAAAGGGAAAGGTTTATAAACACTCACATTGATGTACCAAGAAGAGAAAGGTTTAGAGAGTGTAGTAGAGCTGCCCCCACTACCTCTACTGTCATGTTCCTCATCCTCTCCACTCTCTTTCTCTCTAACACGTGGGGGAGTCTGTCTCATAGCACGTGCTGCAAACCTCTCCTGTGGTCAGTAGTGTGCGGTTATTGTTGGTTTGGTAAGCTGGTTTGGGTGATTAAGTTGAGGTTGAAAGAAAAACCAGCAGATTTCAGGACCACCCAGCTATAGAGGTATAAATACAAGTTTTGTTTTAACTTCAGTCTCGAATTGAAACAATACAAGTCAGAAACTCTGATTTACATTTAAAAATTAAAGTAGATGGATCAATATTTGATTTAATTTTAATTGTGAACATTTGAACAATTACCGTAATTTGTTTGTTGAGTGTTGCCTGTAACCTATCCTCATAGCTGACACTGGGCCAGGTCTGAGAAATGGTAGCTGATAACTTCTCGTTAATCTGTCTGAACACTCTCTCCATCTCAGGATCTATAGAAGAGTCACGTGACTTACCTCTTGAAGAGTCACGGGATATAGCACGTGATGAGTCACGTGATGAGGCATTTCCCCTGTGGAAATTTATGATACTGAAAACTTTGCACTAACTAGTAATCATGGTACCAGTCAGTAACTTTGATTATAAGTCCAGCGAAAATTCGCTCAACTTATTATTCAAAACAAAAACCTAGGGTTAATTCGAGTTCACTTCCAGATATTGGAATCGAAAAGCAATGTTATAATAAGCCCGTGCGAAGGCACCGAATCAAAATGCTGATTAATATATAATCAAGACGTAGAATTTTAAATTATATTTAACTATATCAAATCTGCACCTGTGAGTTAGCCGTGATCTACCTTGGGGAGCAAATATCGGCTGGTCACGTACACACTCTCTGTTTTTGGGGACAGCTTCCTCAAATATAGCAGGTTTAGGGAGGTTTCTGTATACAGCCGGACCCTGAGTGACAAAGATTAAATAAAACAATGTTTTGGGTGACAAAGATTAAATAAAACAATGATTTTTAGGCTACGTCCTATGATCACAGATCATGATTTTCTTGGTATAACTATTTCCCAGATGGCCAGACAAACAGTCACTGATTCTGTTAATAACAAAACCATGATCTGCAATATAATATGCAGTATGCACTCTTCTGATTGAAAAGAGTATTTAACATAATACAGGATCCTGGTTACCTTGAATGAGTTAAGGTCAATCCGTCTATGTTCCAGATCCTGATCTAGTCTCTGTTGTATCTTCCTAATGGCTGGTACTGAACCCTGGACTCCATTAGATAAGGTCCCCAACTTCCTTGTTAATCTCTTCTTAGATATACCTGGTAGAGTGAAGAGATAATAAACTAATTATAATACACCGACCAACTCTTGTAATGGGACATGATCTGGTGAAGGCTGAGAAATTTTGCTGAGTAGCTAAGAAGTTTGAAAATTCATTCCCACGTATTCGTCCATGATAATACTCTTAGTTGCTCGGTAAATAATATTTTGTGGTCAAAATGAACGGTAGGTTTAAAGACACTGACCAGGCAAAGATACGAGTGAAGATGGATGAGAATTTCCCAAATTGTACTGTTCAGAGTTTGGTGCTGAGACTTTTTTACGTTTTTTCCGCAGCGCCCGTTGTCGTTTCTCAAGAAATATGTGCTGGCAATCTCCATCTGTATCCGTCTGTGTAATATCATTATTTAAAGATTTAACAGGAAATTAAAAGAATACCTAATTAAAATCATCTGTTGAAGATCTACTTATTACTTTATTATATATCATATAAAATTACATGTTACATGTGCAGATCAATTACATGATGTTATGATCATTGATCATAACATCATGTAATTGATCTGCACATTTCAAAGGATAAAATAGGTATGCAGAGTTAATGTTTGAACTTGAAATGTATTGAACACTGAAAAAGTATAAATAACTTAAATATAACGAAGCTCGCTCAATGTGAATAGCTAATTGATTAATTGATTCATTAATTAGCTGTTTGATTAAAAATTAGCTCAAAATAGTATATGGACACGTTCATTTGAGTTTGAGGATATTGGTAAATATAAGTGACCCTATTAAAAGGCACAGTGTAGTTGACTTTGTCACACTATGAAATTACTTAAACCCTTGATGGTTAGGATAATCGTCTCATCCTCTAGGCTAACTTTGTCACATAACGATATCTTAATCAGGCGATAAGATATCGCTTAAATACGGCCGGCACGGAAATGGTTACATTGTCACACTATAAACATGTGACGGAGTAAATATGGACCCCTTGCTACCGTTTTTGACCAAATTTTTGAGTGTCCAGTTGATTGGTTGGGTACATATAATCCTGTATCTGGTCAAAACCTGGCACAACTTAGCGAGTTTAGAAGGTTTGAGATGTTATTTGTGCTCCCTAGGGTCTCTACTTCAAAAAAAATTTGGGTGGATAATTTTTTATGTTTGTTTAAACCCGTGACCACGCCCTTTTTAAAGCGTGGGAAAATTTTCCCAAAATTATTGAAATTTGCCTATAATATTTGATGGGGGTCTCTAAATGGCTTGATATGATGCCATCAGTATTACTAGAACATAATAAAATAAAATTTGGGTAAATAAAAGTGTAGTGGCACCCTGACCACGCCCATTTACACAATTTTTGGCGGAAAATTCGGAAAATTCGAAGTTGTTTACTCTAGCAGCAGGGAGGTGTTTAGTTTGTATTTAAACTGCTGAATCGAGTTAAATAGGTTATATAAGTAACTTAATTCAATTAATTGGGCATGTTGAGCCATTAGTTCAGCCTTGGGGAACCACGCCCATATTTCATATTAGGCGCGTATGTGAGAAATTTTTATCTCAGCTTCTGAAGGCCGTAGAAACTTAACTTTGGGCTTAAAATTACCGCAATATGTAAGTTTATATTGACACCATTAAGGTGCTGAAGCTCTCCAGGACTTACTTTTGGATAAAAATGAGAAAAACTGATATAATTTACTGAAGCGCATTAACAAAAAAAACTTCCCTAGCAGCTAGGTTAAGTCAAGTAGGCACATCAATGTATAAAGTTTTACTCGACACAGTGTCCTTCGTAAGGTCTAAAGGTCATTCTGGGCTAGAATAATTCGATTTTGGGTGCCCACTTTTATTAGTAGTCCAACCCTGTCCTAGCTGTGGTAAAATTTCTAAACTGCCCTCAGGTGTAAATATATGATTTTTCTATCCATCTCAGCTCCTGAATATTGTATGACATTCAAGATAACCACAACAGCAGAATAGCCATATTTATATACATTATGCAAGCTATGAAGCAGTATGGGGTGCATAGTTTTTGAGATATTTATTTTTAAAACATAATTTTTAAATGTATCTTGGGCTACCGCATTTATCTTGGGCTACCGAATTTATGTACCAGCACCATCAGCTCATCTTAGAAATCACAAACAACCCGCCGGGCAGCTATCTCTAGTTAAGCTCATTTCAGTACCCGTTGACTATAATATACCCGTTGACTATAATATACATAAAACATTATCGATTTTTACAATCTACACACTATTTTCAACCTACCCTGTATGCCCACTTTTATGTCAGTACAAACTCATCTAGCAAAGTCCAGCTGAAGCTACTAACAGTTACCTCCAGCCCTATCCTATTATTACTTGTCCCTCCAATCCTAGCTCTTTCCACCGTGACCGACCTCAATCTCATTTAGGAAACTCCAGCACTAGCTAACTGCAGCTCTAGCTATCTTCTGCTATTATCCTTTCCCTCCAATATTAGCTCTTTCCACTGACCTCCGGTTTTAGCAACTAACCTTCAGTTATCTCTAGGCTCCAACTCTACCCTGTTGCTGCCCTCTTCAACTAATTGTAGCTTTTAGCCTGCTAGCTATCACCAGTATCCTACAAATCTAAATTTTATAGCAACCTTTTGGAGGTCTTTCACATTATATTAAGTAATCATTTTTGGAACATTTTAAAAGAGCTTTAATTGTAGGATGTTGATGCTATTACATGGATAGAGTAAATTGCAACAGTCGTTGCTGGAAAATGATAAAGTTACTTGAAGAACACAAATGGATGGAGCAGGAAGTTATTGGCAGAAGAACTGGAATAGTAGGCTTCCAGTGGCAGCTGGATAGAGCAGAGGGTAAGAAACTGACCGGTCAAAGGTTTTGGCCACCGGACCGGAAAAGACAGGATATTTTGGTTTGCCGCATTTTGCCGGACCGGAACCGGGTAATGTCGGCCAATCACTAAGATTCACACTCCCTGGCTCGTAGGACTAACCCCCTACAACTAGTATACCAGTGAAAGCAGGATTAATGAACGAATAGTGTGACATTGGGTTCTCAACCATGGAAATTTAGAAGTCCCTACATGCTGTTCTTTCTGGCTCCATGTGCTAGTTAGGGGTCTGAGGTATCCGAAAAATCATGTTTTGAGTACCCAAAGTGTTCTGGGTGCCAGGAATGAGGTTATTAAAGCGGCGAAAATGACCGATTTTGGACTATTTATGAGCTTTTTTGCCCATTTTCATGAGATAAAGAATCAGGAAAGCTGCTCTAGATGATTGAAATGGTTGATACCAATGAGGATACACCCAACACACATAAATATTCGTGATTATGTGATTTTAATGAGAAAAATATGATCCCAGGGCCCGTTTTATACCAAAATTTGCAAAAACCACTCGCACTTGTCAAAGCTTCCTCATTTTAGACACATTTAATGATTATTATGGTATCTAACTTATGGTGGATCTGATAGGAGTATGTCTTAGCTTCATTTTAAGCCATCAATGAGCATGCTGGTGTGTATGAAAGTACTTTTATCCTCCCGTGGCCGTCCATTGATATAGTCTGGGCCATGCGCGCGCGCGCGCTTTTACAAACATGAATTTTCTCCCTCAGTATCTATGCTATCTAAATCTTTTAAAGACATGATTTGAATGCTATCCTACTCAGCACATGAGTGCTACAGGATGGTGAAAGAATTTCTATAAAAAATCGTTAAATGTGGAAGATATGAGGTCATTATATGTGTGTGTGCGCGCGCGCTTTTACAAACTTGATATCCTCGGCCTCAGTCCTTTCACATATACTGAGATTTTGTTTCAAACTTAATTGACTCTGAACCGAAATTGCCAAAGGAAACAGATAGTGTAACTCAGAAAGACCACAAATGTATAGTTTGTGAGATATTGAGGTTATACTCCAAATAATTTACAATGATGTCACACCAGAAAACCTCTATTTTTGGTATATTTAACCTCATATCTTGAACGCGCAGTACTGGATTGAGCTAAACTTGGTCAGGTTTTGTAGCCCTGACTATCCTCGATCATATGGAACAGGAATAAAACTGTTTAGATGTTAATTATATTAGGCACTTAGTTCTGAAAAGTGAGAATGTCATTAATACTGCTTTCACTGATACGAGTATAGTGCCTTGGCACAGAGTGCAAGTGGGTTAGGGTTACTGAAAAGGATATAAGCATCTCAGGCCATCCCAATACCGGAAGAGAACTGGGGGTCACAATGGTGAACAATTGTGAAAATGGTGAAATTTTACAATGGAAACAAAATCATTCACTTGAAAAAATTAGAATGGAGTTGAAGTCACTGGAAAGAGCTAGAATTGGAGGGAAAAGTAATATTAGGATAGGGCTGGAGGTAACTGTTAGTAGCTTCAGCGGCTGCACGACTTCCAGGCCCCCCTATTATTATGGGTCAGATCATATGACGTATAATTAGTGATGTGACGCATAATTAGTGATGTGATCCACCAGCTATGATTTACAGAACATGTGATTTGAGTCATTACAACAAGTCAGTAATGACTTGCTGCTCTTTAATAATTCCTAAGGGATATGCAGGGAGCAGCCTCACCTCACTGTCCACAATGACTGACCCAAGGTAAGTCTTCTCGAAATAATCAACTTTAGACATTAGCTTAGGCAAGTTTGTCTGTATATAGTACGTTATTTCAGAGAATACTTGCTCGACATCAGATCGGCTCACTCCTGTTGCATGCCTTTGGCACGTACGTCTGACATCCCTAGATACGAGACCCCCCCCCCCCCCCCCCCCTTAGCTTTAGTAAGAGCTCCCGTCCCTTATGTGATATACGAGTCGAGCGGTCAAATCTTAAAGATCATCAGATCATGTTTACTTCTTAATGCACAGCTATGATACATACAGAGTTAACATGTGAACTCTACCCTGTATCTCGCCCATTTCTAGGTCAATTAAATTCTACCGATGGATCACATCACTAATTATACGTCACTGATTAGTGACATGATCTGATCTCCATGGGACCCCTAATAATGGGGGGACCTGGAAGTCGGCCTCCTGCTTCAGCTGGACTTTGCTAGATGAGGTTGTACTGACATAAAAGTGGGCATATATTATAGTCAACGGGTACTGAAATGAGCTTAACTAGAGATAGCTGCCCGGCGGGTTGTTTGTGATTTCTAAGATGAGCTGATGGTGCTGGTACATAAATGCGGTAGTGTTGAACCTTTGTTGTATTTTTAAGCGCAAGATATATTTAAAAATCATGTTTTAAAAACAAATATCTCAAAAACTATGCACTATAGACCCCATACTGCTTCATAGCTTGTATATAAATATCAATATGGCCATTCTGCTGTTGTGGTTATCTTGAAAGTCCTACAATATTCAGGAGCTGAGATGGATAGAAAAATCTTATATTTGCGCCTGAGGGCAATGTAGAAATTTTACTACCTAGGCCAGGGTTGGACTACTGATAAACGTGGGCACCCAAAATCAAATTATTCTAGCCCAGAATGACCTTAAGACCTTACGAATTTTACTCGACCGTGTCGAGTAAAACTTTATACATTGATTTGCCTACTTGACTTAACCTAGCTGCTAGGGAAGTTTTTTGTTTGTTAATGCGCTTCAGTAAATTATATCAGTTTTTCTCATTTTTATCCAAAAGTAAGTCCTGGAGAGCTTCAGCACCTTAATAGTGTCAATATAAACTTACATATTGCGGTAATTTTAAGCCCAAAGTTAAGTTTCTACGGCCTTCAGAAGCTGAGATAAAAATTTCTCACATACGCGCCTAATATGAAATATGGGCGTGGTTCCCCAAGGCTGAACTAATGGCTCAACATGCCCAATTAATTGAATTAAGTTACTTATATAACCTATTTAACTCGATTCAGCAGTTTAAATACAAACTAAACACCTCCCTGCTGCTAGAGTAAACAACTTCGAATTTTCCGAATTTTCCGCCAAAAATTGTGTAAATGGGCGTGGTCAGGGTGCCACTACACTTTTATTTACCCACATTTTATTTTATTATGTTCTAGTAATACTGATGGCATCATATCAAGCCATTTAGAGACCCCCATCAAACATTATAGGCAAATTTCAATAAATTTGGGAAAATTTTCCCACGCTTTAAAAAGGGCGTGGTCACGGGTTTAAACAAACATAAAAAATTATCCACCCAAATTTTTTTTGAAGTAGAGACCCTAGGGAGCACAAATAACATCTCAAACCTTCTAAACTCGCTAAGTTGTGCCAGGTTTTGACCAGATACTTTATTAATATGACCATTACCTACATATTTGACGACTTTTTTCGTTAGATGGTGCACTCAGGTTTACTCTGTCACACATTAAAGAAAATATGTGATGAATGTTTAGGGCACCCTGATAAGCAATGCTGAGTAGTGTAAGTTTATTTGATGGCCTGGAAGTGCTGGGAATTGTTATTATATCATATAGTCGTAAGGAATTAAAACACAGAAGGCACATCCAAGCTTACTTTGTCACATAATCTTGATAATATCTGAACATATGTGAAATTGAACAAATAATGATATACCAGCTTAAACCCCTTATATTATACGTACTATGGATCAAACAACACTGCTAGTACCATGCACCAGTCACATAAATCATTATCAAGTGGTAATATGTTAACAGTGTCACAATTAAACTACCGCTACATGGTCAAAAATAGGGTAATTTCGTCACAAAAAATTATTATAACTCTGTTAGCTCCTTGCTGGCAAAATAACTAGTTTATCGAAATTTGTTTGATGATAAAGTTACATAGTATTCTTATAGAAGTATAGTTCTTCAAAATAGGGGCAAGACATGTTTACTTTGTCACATCAGTTATTATAAGAGTTAGGTAATCGTCATCAGATTAAAAGATATTTTTCGTAGTTTGGATCGATTAATACTTTAATATACCTGTAATAAATCCTATGTCAATTTTAACACACTATCTTGATACTGTTGGGGCAGGGAAAGTTAATTTTGTCACATTTTCAATGTCTTTGACAAATTAATCTAAATTTTAAAAATTGAGTTCTTATGTTCTGGACAATATTCTTCCAATCGTTTCTGAAAGAATGTTGAATTCTAATAGAGTTATAGATCTTCAAAATAGGGGCAAGACATGTTTACTTTGTCACATCAGTTATTATAAGAGTTAGGTAATCGTCATCACATTAACATATATTTTTTGTAGTTTGGATTGATTTACATAGGTAATAAAGCAGCCTATGCTAATTTTTACACACTATCTTGAAATTGTTGGGGCATGAAAAGTTAATTTTGTCACATTTTTAGTGACTTTGACAAATTTAACCTAAAATTGTTAAACTTAAGCTCTGATGTTCTGGACAATATTCTAATAGAGGTATAGAATATAGATCTTCAAAATAGGGGCAAGACATGTTTACTTTGTCACATCAGTTATTATAAGAGTTATTATAAGAGACTATTTCATTCTATAATCATTGTTTTTAATATATTTACGATTTCGTATAATTTTTTGTGACAATGTAAATATCAACTGATAAAATTTTCCCGCCTTTCAAACCAAAATCAGATATAAATTATTCGCCCAAAATTTTAAATTTCATATATTGTGACAGAATTAACCTCATTTCCCAATAACCAAGTGCCTGTATTAGCTAACTATTCAAAACAACATATTTTAGGGCTATGCTTGGTAGAGCAACCATAAAATAATGAGTTGAAAGGGTTTTTAGGACACCTCACAGTAGAATAGAGGTATGGTATCATGAGTGTGACAAAGTTACCCAAATATTGCTTTGTAACCGTTCGATCCGTGCCCATTAACCAATGTTGTATCATAATTGTTAGATAGACCTAATTTACTATATTTCAGACCAAGGAATGATAATTAGACAACTGCAGTTAACTAAGTCACACAAAATGTGACATTTGAAACATTATAGTGCCTAACAACAATAGATTTTCTTTCTGAGCGGTGCATATGGGAGTATGGGTTACGTGGCTAATGTTCAGAACTTCTGAACGTGCTAGGTTAATAAATGTCAAAATTAAGCCACTATCGTCAAAAACGCTATTATTTTTGTTTACCAATATCCTCAAACTCAAATGAACGTGTCCATATAATTTATACTGGATTATAAGTCTATAAACTTGAAAAATATTGTTCGTCAAAAAGAACGAAGTTCATGTTATATGATACAATACGAATTCATGTTCTATAATACAATACGAAAAATAAGTGAAAGTCATATTATAACATTACCTGCAAGCGTTTAAGGTTATTAGGGCTCCACATCTTATTTGTCAAACTCACACGTAATCATTTGATTATGTTTATCTGATGTACATTGTCTAAAAATTGATAAAAAGTATGTTTAATTAAATATTGATTATCAAAGTTCACAGTGCTGAAAATACGTCATCAAAGTGTAAAGTCCTCTCTATTCCTGGAAAGAAAATCAGCAGTAGGATATTACCTATTCCATTTATCAGATTTCAATATTTGCTCGGTAATACTCCCTTAGATTACACCAGTACGGAAACAGATCTTGGAGTCGTTATAAATCAGGGCTTTCGTTTTGAAGAACACATAACTAAAATATTGTCCAAAGCTAACCAAAAATTTGGGCTGCTGAAACGCACTTGCTCATTTGTCCATGATGTGAGACGAAGAAGAAATCTATACCTTGCACTTGTTAGAAGTCAATTTGAACACTGTTCCCAAATCTGGCGTCCATTTAATAAAACACAACTAGATAAGATGGATGCTTTTCAAAAAAGGTGTATTAAGTGGATTTTTGATGAGGAATTCACAAGCTATCAGTCCTTTGAAAACTATACTTACAAATGTCATCAATTGAAAATCCTTCCTCTCAGCAAGAGGTTTGAATTGAATGACCTGACCTTGTTTCAAAAAATAGTCAATGGTGCGTGTATGCACACAAGAGCTTCCTAATTACTTACAACTATACAAAGGAAGCACACGCTTAAGATCATGTCACCATGACAGCCTAAGTTATGTAACGACTCTTGTTCAAACACAGTGTAATAGCAGTCTCCTTAAGAAATCATTCTTTTATCGGACACATCTGCTCTGGAATAAACTTCCTCTCGAAATAAGAGACCATAGCTGTCCTGATATCTTCAAGGCCAAACTTAAGGATCACCTATGGTCGGAAATGCTACCCACAGATCCAAACGATAGTCACGCTGAATTCTACCTGTCTGATAATGATTAGATGCATCTCATTTCTCCCAATGCCAATTCTCTGATCTAAAATAACCGATCCAAACTATTTAAGGGGTTAGGGGTGGGTTGGGTTGTGGGTTGGGTTTTTAAAAGTATTGTATGATATAATCTATTTCATTAACAAGTTAACAAATTATTAACATTATGATATTTTATACACGCTGTATTTTATTATTGCACAATCATCTCTATTACAATATATCTTAAATTTATATGTGTTGATTGTATGAAATGTTTTGTCAGGGACCATATTTTGTAGGTGTAATTTTTGCACGAACTACGTTCTGGTTTCCCGTCATTATAGTACATAGAAATCACTTTTTGACCGTGTTATTTTCATGCAATTACATTGATGTATGTACTATTTTGAAAAGATTTTCAATAAAAAAATTTTTTTTAAAGCAGCAAACTCCAATATTCATGGATTACCTCGACCAGTCGACCATACCAATCAACATATACTGAGATACGGTCTACGTTTTTAGTTACCGTCTAGCGTCCTGCGTCTACATACACACATACAAACATTATTATCACAAGAGTATTATACCCAACATTGACCGGCGAACTGATAGCTACTTCAGAAGCAATGAAACTACAATCTTCTAGATAAAATGAGTCATAGTACTTTCAGCCGGAGCCATCATAAGTGACATAAATCTAAAAGATAGTATGGTTAGTTTCTAAATATAAACTCAAACTCTGAAAAGGAAACTGCCGTGAAATATGAAACATCAACAAAAGGACCAATTATTTTAAAAAATAATTTATGGAAAGCCCCTCAGACAAAATAAAAATCAATTATGCAATAAAGGAATCTTAAAAGGGTTTGTACTATTCATTCCTGAGGGGCGGAGGGAATTTAAGGCATGTATATATCGGTGCTCCTTAACATCTAAACTACTAGGACTTGAATTTTCTAGGATACACACTGAAACACTATTGTTAAAATTTTTCTTCTGAGTCAGTCCATGCTCTATATGGAGGTGGAGTCCTACGCAGTTTGAGTCATCATCCGTGTCAACCTTTTGCCCACATTATTATCAAACAAACAATAAAACACGATTATTACATTATTTAGAGTGATTGAAGTTTGAAGCATTACAAAGCAATTTATATACCTGTTATTTGCTTTAGCGTGCAGTGACTATGCTTTTTAAAGACGTTTTGAGGGATTTTGAAAGAAAGTGACAGGCATGCGTTATTTCGTTATAGCCATCATTGAATCATGGACATTTAATTCGTGGACATTTAATTCATGGACAATGCAAAATATGTTTTTTTCGGTTGTTAATAATAACGGAAAGAGTGATATATTGATTAATTCATGGTATCAATAATGATAAACTTTATTGAAAATTCTCCACATCGTACTAATTATCAACTTGTATTGTATAATGTTAAAAATCTGCAATTTTAGACGGCCCCAGCCGAATTAATTATTATGTAATCAAGTTTATTTTTCTCTTTTAGTTAGTTGTCATCCGGCCAAACATTAAGCAACTTATATTGCAGTTCCATTTATCAATTAGTATATCAAAATATGTCATTGTAATTTTGCATGGCTGAAATGTAACGCTTGATTTATATATATAATAATTAATTGAATTTTCAAATTAAAAAAAATAATCTTCTAAGACCATACCTCACACTTGGCATAATATGATATAACAATAAAATGATACATCCAACCTATACACTTACAAGAGCTAATTAAGGGATAAATAATAGACTAAATTAACAATAATTAACTTTACTTATTTTATTTAAAAGTGCATCATATAGCATTAAAAAGACAAAAACCTAACTAAAAACGTACCTTCAACATTTAATTGTAAAACATCCTATTCATTTACTTCAAAAAACATAACACTTAGATGTTTGTAAATAACAACAATTTCCCTCAGTTGATTGAGATTCAGACTGCACGTAGACCAAACAGGATACTGTTCCATACACTTCTTTTTATCAAAGAGAATGAATTTAGGATTAGTAATATCATGATAAGGATATTTTCTGGACAAGTTTCTTAGTTTGAAGAGGGGCCCCTTGTTTTCAGGTAGAAATTCTGGGATAAACCTACGGTCACTCTCACTGAACTGATAACGTGGCAAATCGTCCTTCATCAACATGTGAATTTTCGAACTCAGTTTTCGACAGCAGCATAACAATCTTCCTGACAAATGTTGCCTTTCAACAGGGTTTCCTTGCTCAAAAACAATTTGCTGCTTGTGTTCACAACATTGATAAGAAAACTTCTCTCCAGTGGACATGGTGAGAAGGTATGGTTGGAGCACAAGGTTCAGATACTCATCAGGAAGAAAGCACAGGCAAACAGATCTGTTTAATAGTCCCAAAATCTGGTTATCATTTCCAACGTTTGTAAGAGCCCAGTTCATTATACATTCCACGATCCTTATGTCTAATAAGTTTACCTGGCATGCTTCATCCAGTGTATTCTTTACAAGTTCGCAACTTCTTGATTCTTCTACAAATTTTCTAAGATTCTCGAATGACAAATTACCCCATTTGATGGTGAGGATTAATTCCCGAAGTTGTCTGAATCCATCAAGCCTCACAGCATTCATTATTGAAAACGGGAAAAGATTAAATTCGTAATCATTTAGCCTTACCAAATCTGTAGCTGTCGTGCTATCTTTTGTAACCATTTCCTCCCAGTTTTTACACAAAAATTCGATAATCAGTTGCTTTGTAATAGAATCTCCACTTGAGTAAAACTTCTTTACAATTAAACAATAGTCAGAGAGAAAAATTGATTGGTCACTCTTACAAGTGTGCTCAATATTTCCTGACAACATTTTCTTCATCTTTTCGAATATTTGCCGACAGCTCTTCAATTCCTTGTTACTGCTAGGTTTGTCTGCTTTTGGGAGTATGGGAACACATGCCTTCTCCTTGATGTCTTTCATAAAATTGACTCTAAGACTGTCATCAATATTCTTTTCCTCGAGCATCCAATCAAAAACTGATAATTTATCAGAGTTTTCCATAGTATTGAATTTTATCAAAGCGATTAAGGGTGACAGATGGCAGATCCTATTAGTGACATCTGTTTCGAACCATTTGCAAAAAAGTCGGAATTTCTCAATCTCAGGTAGTACAGCTGAATCCCCATTATTGATAATGGTACACAGACAATAATAATCAATGTGTAACAGTTCGCCAGTTTTAATGAGATTCTCAGGAAAATTAGGTGTAAGGTAGTCCAGACACAATTCTTTCAGGTCTTCACAGCATATTGAATGAGAAAACTTTAAAATGTCGATAAACGTTCCTTCAGTTATCATATTTTCAAAAAGACCAAAAATTTTGCTCTTCAGCCAATCCACGTTGTAAACTTAGCAAATTTATACACAAATTTAGCATCATCCTCACTAACTTCAATGCAACCTGTATAAAGACTTGTAATGAGACCACAAAGAAGATCATAGTTTTCCTCAGACATATCAGATAAAATAACATGATATAGTTTATCAGCCACTGAATAATAAGCATCGTCAGTCTTCATAATATCACAGTAAACATCTAGCACAAATTTGTGTGCAGGAATCTGACGATCTCCTACACAGAGTAAAACATCAGCTTCTAACCGATCTTTTGAAAGTAATTCCAATCTGTGGGATAGACCGGCTGACCAATTTCTATCAGGGTTCACCATGTTTCAACAAGTTCTGAACATAGCTTCTGAAATGTTGGTAATTAAAGACCACTTTCAATGTTTATTACTTAGGAACTTTGAATATAAAACATTATAGCAACAAAATAAATTGTATAAAACTTGAAGCCTTAACCAGCTTAAGACTTAAGAGTTGATGAGTTATCTTGAAGTTTTGGTATCTAAATCCAATAATATTCATTGTTCAAGCAGATTATCAGGTTAATTTTTGAAACAAAAAAAAACAGCAAAATGGAGTTGGGATGTTATTATAATGAACAATACAAACTTTAAATTACAAAATTTATTATTAAAACTGACTTTTAATCAGTAAATTCAACACCACATGCAAACACTATAAATGAGTAAATAATAAACATATGTTCGAATAGGTTAAAACTATGCTCTAATATGTAATAAAATGATACAATTTT